TACCTGCCAGACAGACATATACACCTTACAATCATTCCATACAACACAAATAGTTGACCTATTGCTTATAGTTTAAGAAATACAGACCAAAACACAAAAACTTTACACTGAGCAATGAACCGTGAAAATGAGGTCAAGGTCAAATAAAACCTGTGAGACTGACATGTACATCATAAAATATTTCCATACACCAAATATAGACCTATTGCATATAGTATTAGAAAAAAGACCAAAAAACAAAAACTTAACTTTTACCACTGAACCATGAAAATGAGGTCAAGGTCAGATGATACCTGCTAGTTGGACATGTACACCTTACAATCATTTCATACACCAAATATAGTAGACCTATTGCTTATAGTATCTGATATATGGACTTGACAATGAAAACTTAACCTTGTTCACTGATCCATGATATGAGGTCGAGGTCAGATGAAAACTGTCTGACGGGCATGAGGACCTTGCAAGGTACGCACATACTAAATATTGTTATCCTATTACTCATAATAAGAAAGAAATTAACAGTACAAAAAATCTTAACTTTTTTTTCAAGTAGTCACTGAACCATGAAAATGAGGTCAAGGACAATGGACATATGACAAAAGGAAACTTCATAACATAAGGCATTTATATACAAAGTATGAAGTATCCAGGTCTTCCACCTTCTAAAATATAAAGCTTTTAGGAAGTTAGCTAACGCCGCCGCCACCGGATCACTATCCCTATGTCGAGCTTTCTGCGACAGAAGTCGCAGGCTCGACAAAAATGATAAAAAAATTGGCAAAATTTGTCATTTAAGGGCAATAACTCCTAGAAGAAGTCGCCTGACAGTTTTGACGTCAATGAACAAAGAGTAGCTCTTAATGTTCTGAACATTTTTGCCCTGTCAGATTTTCTCTATTTATAACTATTTTCAAAATAATAGACAAAACTTGCATTTTACCCCCTATGTTCTATTTTTAGCCATGTCTGCCATCTTGGTTAGAGGGTGGGGTCATCGGACACATTTTTCAGAACACTGCTCATTTACAAGCCCCCAAGGGGCAATTTTTGAAGGCCTTGCGCAAATAATTAAGATCTTTGCGCATTTAGTTTCTTTGTTGAATTAATGAGATGAAACATTGAACTCTAATTAAAAATTATGAGCTAACCTGAGAAAAATTGTTAAAGGCTTGTTTTTCACATCTGAAAACTTGAGAATTTTAGGGATTGTAAAAAAAATTTACTTATACAAGTAAATTTTTGAGAAAATTAAGGGGAGATTATTCAAACATTATAAGAAAAAATAAACATAACAAAATTTACTTATATAAGTATATTATTATTTACTTCTTCAAGTAAATAAAGATTACTTGTACAAGTAGTACCCCTGACTGACAGTACGTGATGCATATATCTTCTTGTTAACAAGAAAGAAGCCAAATAAATATGTGTTTTCTGTATTTAGATTTTTGAAATTATTACATTTTTTTCAAGCAGAATTCAACATAACTAGCAAAAATTACGTTTCAAATGAAGGGGAATCAAGATAGACGTATGAGATCTTGCGGCTTTTTTTCAATTGAAAGCAGTAAAAATGGTAATAAGATATATATGTGCGATTAAACCTTCTATCGCAAATACTGCAATATGGCTTATATCAATTACAAATACTAAAATAGAAATCTTAAAGAAAACAAACGAAATACCTGGAAACTTTGTTTTCTTCGTCATGAATAAAAGGAGATGTTAGGTAAACGTCAATGTGACAGCAAGCCAACAACACAAATAATCAAAAGACATCTAGAGTTCTTCAATGTTACAATTGACAAGTTTCCACAAAATATGTCGAGCTCTTAAACCTGAATCCATAAATGTTTATATAATTTCAACAGCCTACAACCAGAAAATTAAAACAAATTTACAAACAAGTGAAACTGTGAGCTACTGCTCACTGATGATACCCCTAGCCCAAATACTTGACGGTAAACAGGAAGTTGTTGAGTGATGAATCTGAAAACGCATCACATGGTGTAGCTGACTTATATAAACCCTGAAACCAAATTTCAGAAATCCTTGTAATGTAGTTCCTGAGAAAGATGCGACGAAAAATATTCATGGGACAGATGGATGGACTGACGGATGGATGGACGGACAGACAGAGATAAAACAGTATACCCCCCACTTTTTTAAAGCGGGGGTATAATAATATGCAAATATTTTTATACACACTCTTGTGTCTTTTATTGATTCTGCTTTGGTATTTATATCTGGATATATCTGGAATTTGGTGTATTAAATGTGTATCTTTTTTAATGAACCCCCTTGTCCAGACTCCTAATAAATTATATATAATTAAAGACAAAGGCGTCGTCTCAGTGTTTGGTTATTTCAATGGCCCTAAAAAAAACTTGCATTTTCATCCCCATAAAATATGTAGAGTTCCTGGATATATAAATATTTATATGTATTCAAAAGAATTGACATTTTATTTATTAGAAACCAATGTCATATCAAGGATGAGAAATCACTGCAGTGATTAATTAATAAATTATCATAAAGAACTATAGCAAACCATGTCTTTGGTTTCGTAAGCTCGCCTTGAGTGTGGGAGGTTGGGGTATTCAAACTGGATAAAAATAGTAATGAAAATGTAACTTGAAGAAGGGCTACCCCTTTTAATTGCTGACAAATTTTCACCTCATAAGAATAAAGACAAAATAATTATGTAAAAAAGTAATAGTTCATTTTAATTCACTAAATTTATACAATTGCATGAGAAATTGCTCTGACAGATTTAAACAAAGACATACATGTAGGTAAAATATTTTAACAATTTTCTCAAGTAATCTATGAAATGTAATCTTAATTTAATAAATTTCTAACATATCTTCAAAAATTTACAGTACAGTCCCTGACTTTTCAATTCTGAAATTTGTTCAAGTAGCGAACATACCAAAATAAAGTTAAACTCTTATAAAACTGCAGGATTCAATATACAGCTGAATTGCAATTGATTTAATGTATGTAATTTAATCATTGTCCATCTACAAGTGCCAGTGACAAATATCACATGAATGGTGAAACATTAAATTGCTGAACTAATCAGTAAAAACAGATTTGGGAATAGTCTAGTATTATGACATTATTGGTTTTTATTAAAAAAAAATACCAATAATAAAATGTGATATGCACAATGCATATATATATAGAACACGGCAGAATTTTTTTTTAATAAGCTTTTTTCATTTTTGAGACAAAGATGTAAAGAAGTTAAATATGCAGAATGTTCCAACTTCATGTTGCCTAATAAGATTAATTTAATGTTTTAGCAAAAGACTTTATATTAAATTTCATATTTATTGCTACAAAAAATAAACAAAAGCTAAATTTGGTATAAAAAAAAACTCCAATAAAGCCAAAACATTATTTGACATTACATATGTAAGTTCATTGTTAAAGACGTTTTTATCGAAATGACGTTACACCTCCATAAGTCTAGAAATGTCATAGCGGGTCACATATGTAAAACAACGTACATGTATTAGAAGGCAGAAGAAAAAAGCCTGCTGCTACCACAAAAATAAGACATAATTCTTGCTAATGTAAAATTTTGCAGGTAACAATACAACATGATATTATTGTTACCTGCAATTTCCATGTATGAAATCGAGTCCCTGTCTGGAGACACATTTCAGCAATTAGTCTGAGACTCTGAAGTAACAATAATTTTTTTCTTATTGTTACTCTTTGCAGGTAATCGTAGCCAATGCCTAAAAAATATTTGAGAAAAACTGTTAATTTCTAATGGTAAGTGGTACTGGAACAGTATAAATTTAGATAAAATTAAATTGTACATGTATTTGTCATGTATCCCGCAATGGTGGTAAGTCGTGCACTTAAGGCCATTTTTTATTTTATTTTTCTGTAGACTTAGCTTTGACTTTTTATTACTGTGTATTGTCAAGCTTGGTTACTCATTATTGTTTCTCAGTCACTGAATGTACAGATGTTGTTCCATACTGCAGCAGCTGAACCGGTTTGTTTTCATTCAAATTCTAATGGCTTCAAAACCACGTGACACATTGAATCGTTATATCCAATCAAATTGCTCTACTGTCAATTAGGTGATTTTTCAGTACAAGGCAATTATATTATTTGTTTGTATGATATTGCTTTGAAATAGTTTGCAATAAATTGGGGGTTTATTCAATAGGAAACCTCATTATTAGCCATGAAATTTGATATAAATGGAATTTTATATGAATATTTACTTATGGTCAGAATATCGATCTCTTTATATTGAACCAATTTTTTTAATGAAAAATATATGTATATTGTTTTTTATTAACCTACTCTATATTCATGAACAAAAATATGGCATGATTATCATGATTATCGTTTGTTTCCCAAAGTTTTTCTTTCATTTTTGATGGGTTTTTTCGCGGGAAAATCGATTAAGACGTAAGGTGCTTGCCATTTTGAAATTCTTAAAAATACGATTTGCTTGGCCTTTTTGGTCTGCCTTTAAGATTGATGACGCTTAATGGAATGTAAACAAAGCAATGGAGGCCGGAAGAGGGGATTTCTGAAGTTCTGGAATGTGATTAGGCATTCGGAAGTCAGGTTTGAAACTGCCATTAGAAAATTGGCATCTTTGTACAATTCTTTAGAATAACAATGAAAACATATCTTTAGAAATGTTTGTTTATTTAGAAGAGTAGAAAAAATGTATTCTGCACTAATTTTGTACGCTGGTATTAGCGTAGTGACGTCAATGCCGAGTTTTCACGTGTGATCAGTACAATAACAAAATCCGAACGAACCAACATTATGAACGATTCGGTAGGATATGTATTCGGTTCACCATGCATACAACTGCCTTAATATGACTATGTTAATTGGTTCTTTTCAATATCCTAACTTCCAAAGAGACCAACACAAAAAACGGTTAGATATCAAGCGATTTTTAATGTATTTCGTATAAAATGATAAAATTTTCACAACTAAATCTTTTATACCTGTGGGTCTGTCTTGTTTACTGGTTTTATGGACCCGTTTTGGGGGCTGTCTTTGCAGTTTACAAAAAGGGAGTATACTAAGATTTCAATAAAGCTGTTCTAGCCTTGGACAGAAGATATTTTTAGCCGAAGGAACATACAATTCGTTCGGCTTATTCTTCTGATTCGATGGTCTGTCTCAATAAATATTTATTTGACCTTTTCTACCTTCACAATAAAGAATGTCTAACAGTTCCCCCGAAAACCAATATAATTACTTTTCACAAAAGATAAAAGAAGACGACGTCCACTATTTCGTCTGTTTATATTTCATAGAAGATTGCAAAAGAGATGTGTCATGTGTACATGTATAAAAGCAACGAACCTGGATGGAAAAAACAAACTACAAGTAACATAATAGAATAAGTAGAATGAAAAAAAATGTCATAGCCAACCTCGTCGACAAAACATATTGACCCAGAGTCAACCTGCAAATGCTACAGAAAAGTCCTGTATCAAGACTTACATTTTTTAGATACGAGAAATCGACGGTATATGAATTGCAGTTTATTTTTCAGCATTCGCATTTTCAGATTTTGGCAGTGGGTAAGAAAACATATTTGATAAAAATCCAATTATAATTATTAAAAACTGTTGACGTAACTGCTATATGTCTAGGACATTCAACAAGAGCCTACAATACCGATAGGATATTCAAAAAGTACCTGCTATAGATATAGGAAATTCATCGAGTACCTGCTATATCTATAGGAAATCATATCCAACTAAGTTAGACATCACGTGACTTTTGTGACGTATACTAGCCGCCATTTTGTATTATATTGCCCCATATAAAATGCATAGGTGCTTCAATAAAGTTTAGTTTTCTCATGAACCTGACCCGTTTTCTAACTTTTGCAAATCAATCCTTGATATTCAAACATATTTCTATCAAACAATGTTGGTCCTAACAGTTTAATTTTTGATTAAATTCTGTCACTGGAGAATCGTAAAAACATGTACTTTTTCTCGTTATTTCTCCGTTGACTCAATGCTAAATGTACCGATACCCATGTCTACTTGTATAACAAATAAAGAAATTCCGTTAATAAAAATAAAACTTTGCAAATCGATTAAGTATATTCAAACATATATCTGGCGAAAAATACTATTTAAAACAGTTTAATTTCTGGGCAATTTCGGTCAAAAATCGATTTAAAAAAGTAAATATTTCGGGATTTTTCAAAATGGCGGATAATGTATATGGAAATGTTGCATCAAATCGAGGATTTGTCTAGTAAGACTTTCCTTGATTTAATTTAATTTTCATGTAGAATCTCTGATGTTTCTGTTATTTTCTTTGGTGATATTTCGATATGATTGATTTCAAAATTTATTGATTAAAAAAATATTATTTTAAGTGTGACACGGGAACATTTTATTTTGACAGATATCCAGGATATACTGTTACCAGAAAATAGTTAACAATAAAATTTATAATAAAATTTTTTCTCATCTTTTTTTAAAAGTTTTTTTTCCTGTTTTCTGTATAATTTATCTTTCTTTAGAAATATATTTATACATTCCTTTTACAACAAAAATATATTTACGTCCCAAGAGAGAAAAAATCCCAACAATTATTATAGATAAATATTCCATACCTTCAAAATCCCATCACTTGACGAACAGGTGAACTCTGACTTTGGATGTAATGTTACATAACAAAATATTGTCAGGTAGACGTGCAAACCAAAAGCAACCAGGTGACATTAAACATCCTGTGTATACATGTATTACCAGAGTTTAAATTTTGTGATATACAAAAGTTTTCATAACTGTACAAATAAATATCTTCTCTTCCCCGTGTCAAACCAGAAGAAGTATGTATCATAATAAACTTTAAGAAAATATGAATATTATAAAAAAAAATCTTTAAAAAAATAATTTTTGCTTTTAAAGATAATCAAACTAATATTTATGTTTCTAAAATTATTTTAAAGAAATATTTTGATTCAAATTTTAATTTAAATGGATTTTGTATTATTTCGTTAAAAATTAAACGAGATTTCATTGAATATGATTTTATTATTTATTTTTTTTAATTCAATATTTTAAGCAAAATCCAGGCATTCAATAAATCGATATAAAGTTAAACTTGTGTAAAAAAAATTGTTATTGTATACATTTCAACAGAGACATATAATACAATTGCTCTGATTTCAACAACATTGTATACCCGACAATATTTATCGACAGAGTTATCGGTCCTGAATAGGACTGTTATAGTTGGGTATGTCAACAAGTACCTGCTATAGCTATATTATAATCAACAGGTACCTGCTATACGTTAAGAACATTCATCAACTACCTAGTAATTATATTGGAAATTCATCAACTACCTGCTAGAACTATGATATTCAACAAATTCCTACTGTAACAAAAGGAAATTCAACACGTACCTGCTATATATATAGGACATTCAATGAGTACCTACTTTACCGATAGGATATTCAACAGGTACCTGCTAAAGCTATAGGATATTCAACAAGCACCTGCTATAGCAATAGGACATTCAACGAGTACCTGTTATGACTATAGGACATTCAACAAGTACCTTCTACAACTATAGGACATTCAACAAGAACCTTCTATACCAATAGGATATTCATCAATTACCTATTATAGCTATAGAACATTCAACAAGTACCTGCTTTATCTGTAGGACATTCAACAAGAACCTACAATACCAATAGGATATTCAACAAATACCTGTTATTACTATAGGATATTCAACAAATACCTGATATAACTATAGGACATTCAACAACTACCAACTATATCTGTAGGACATTCAATAAGAACCTAGTATACCGATAGAATATTCAACAAGTACCTGCTATAGCTATAAGACATTCAACAAGTACCTGCTTTAACTATAGGACATTCAACAAGTACCTGCTATAACTATAGGACATTCAACAAGTACCTGCTATGACTATAAGACAAGACATTAAACAAGTACCTGCTATATCTATAAGATATTCAACACGTAACTCCTAAGTCTATAGGCCATTCAACAAGAACCTACTATACCAATATGATTTTCAACAAGAACTTGCTATAAATATAGGACATTCAACAAGTACCTTTTATAACTAAATGACATTAAACAAGTTCATACTATAAAAAAGCAAATTCAACACGTAACTGCTATATGTCTAGGACATTCAACAAGAGCCTACTATACCGATAGGATATTCAAAAAGTACCTGCTATACATAAAGGAAATTCATCGAGTACCTGCTATAACTTTAGAACATTCAACAAGTGACTGCTATAACTATAGGACATTCAACAAGTACCTGCTATAACTATAGGACATTCAAAAAGTACCTGCTATCGACTTTAAGACATTCAACAAGTACCTGCTATATATATAGGATATTCAACACGTAACTCCTGAATCTATAGGCCATTCAACAATAACCTACTACACCAATAGGATTTTCGACAAGTACTTGATTTAAATATAGGACATTCAACAAGTACCTTTTATAACTAAATGACATTAAACAAGTTCATACTATAAAAAAGAAAATTTAACACGTAACTGCTATATGTCTAGGACATTCAACAAGAGCCTACTATACCGATAGGATATTCAAAAAGTACCTGCTATACATAAAGGAAATTCATCGAGTACCTGCTATAACTTTAGAACATTCAACAAGTGACTGCTATAACTATAGGACATTCAACAAGTACCTGCTATAACTATAGGACATTCACCAAGGACCTGCTACAAATATTGGACAATTATCGAATACCTCCTTTTAATTGAGGACATTTAACAAGTACCTCATTTGACTATAAGACATTTAACAAGTACCTAGACTTTATATACACTGGTATAGGTAGTTATAATAGACCCCGCCATGAAAAATGAAACAACGTTACTTAGAAAACTAACGGCTTTTTACGAAATAAAATATCATGACAGACAGGAACCAACGACAACCACTGAACTACGGCTCGTGACTTAGACAATGTACCGGAGTAAAACATTAAACATGTATGTGAGAATCCATTAACCCATTAACCTTTGACAGTGGTATAACGGCACAACATAAGAACAAACTATATAAACTCTTGTTTAATCAATCATTATTATGTTGTTTATGATGATAACGCTGTGTATCACACACTATAATCAGCATCCACTTCACAAGGTTTTTTTTCTGGGTATGAATTAAGTTTTATGATAAACTTGATGAAATTTGGATACTACGGAATCATATTTGGGACAAACTAGAATTAAAATTGGCATTGAACTTTTGTTTCAAATTCGAAATTTTGACAAATCAAATCTTATTGAAACATCGAATTTTCAACTTTTCAAATCTCGAAATTTTGACTTTAATTGGAAATTTTAGCTATTAGAAATTTTGAAATTTCGGCTTTTAGAAAGTTGAAAGTTTTGATCCTTTGAAAAGTCGAAATTTCAGCTTTATAAAGTCAAAATTTAGACTTTAAACTCAAAATTTCAAGTTTTAGAATCTGGAAATTTCAACTTCTCAGTATTTATATGTTTATATGTTCTAAAACTAGAAAACTGAGGAGCTCATGAGTCGTCCTGAATATGCATGGCATATTTTGCCACTTGATTTACCATTGTTTCAACAAGGCAAAGTTGTTGACCTGCTTTTGGGATACCGAACAGGACTTTTAACCCAATCATAAAACATAGGATGCAAAATGTCCTTAGATGTGACGACCCTATGACAGAGTCGTGGACACTAAAACATGGAATATGGGAAAATAACCTCTTTTTTTTCTGTCAACACGCATGCTCCTTCCGATTTAAACTCTTCAATCTTAAATGTTAATCCATATCATTATTAAAGAGAACAAAACTATTTCTGAATATAAATTGACAAAATGTTTGGATGACGCTTTATTTATTTATTTGCGTCCATGTCATCTCCTTCTAAAATTGTAATAGCTGTGTTTGAATACTTATATTTAAGTTGTAATACTTTTTAAAAAAGTCGATATTTCAAGATTTCAAAAGTCAAAATTTCAGATTACAGTCAAAATTTAGAGATTTGAAAAGTCAAAAATTTGAGTTAAAGTAGAAATTTTTAGGTTTAATATTAAGTTCGACTTCGAAACAAATGTGCCCATTTTATTTTTTACTATGTCCCTATATTTTTCTT